CAAGAATTGCATCGTTGTCACCAGGTTTCTGCTCCTTACCGGGTCAGTGTTGAGGGCACCACTCGTCTTTCTGGGGTTCTCTGGTGGATCAGACCAGGATACACCATGACGAGGACTCACGGGGAACTGCCCAAGGTAGAGGACTGTGACAGCTTCAGGGGTCTGTGAGTGCAACAGGTGATGAGGAGGTGCACCGTCCATCAGCACCTTCTGCCAGTTTGGACTTCAAGCCAAGAATTTGAGACTTGCAGTGAGAAAAGGCTTCATCTTCTGCAGGTATTTAACTTCTGACAATTGTAATTGAGCAACATATTTATCTGCTCAGGAAATGAATGCGTGGACCTTGGGATGACCACCAGGATGGGTCCAAAGATGAACTGCCTTCTGGTTCGGGGCCAGGGATGACCTCTCTGCATCGGGAGTGCAAAATGAACTGCTTTTTACACAAAGTGACTTTGTGCAAAACAACAGCTCTGAGAAGATTGTTTTGACTACTCTAAGGAACTTTACGACTCCCCTCTGAAGAAAACAGCTTCCAGCTCAAAGAACACTCACGACACGTGTCTTGGAATAATCACTTTCTGAAAACAGAACAGAGAAATATGTTAAATACATTATAATATTTAATGTGATTTCATTATAATGATTGAAAATAACAATCAAAATTATTCATGTTCACATTGGTTAATCAATTAAAACAAACTTCATTAATGATTTTTTTTTTCTTTTCAGAAGCATAGAAAGAATAAGATAAACATTAGTCAGACTGTAGCTGTCTCTGTCCAAGGACAGAAAATGTGTGGAAAAACATCAGACATTATTGAAGTCAAATGTAACTTTACAGAACACAATTCATGGTGAGTCTGGAAGACGAATGAGGGTCAGGGGTCATAGTTAGAGCAGTGCAGCTTCATGCTACAGATGTATAGCTGAGGAATTATGTTTAGCTTGGAAATGAAATATATAATTTAAACCTAAATATTTAGTTAATTAAATATTTAACTTGCAAGTTATATATTTAGTTTATAAATTAAACATTTGTTTTGTACATAAACATTTAGTTTGTATACTAAATATATTTAGTTAAATTTAGCTAAATATTTAGCTAGCAATTTAAATATTTAGGTCTGTGCTTTGTGGACTTGGAGAAGGCATTCGACCGCGTCCCTCGGGAAACCCTGTGGGAGGTACTCTGGGATTATGGGGTACCAGGCCCTTTGATACGGGCTGTTAGGTATTAGGAATGACCGGTGTCAGAGCCTGGTCTGCATTGCTGGCAGTAAGTCGGGCTTGTTCCTGGTGAGAGTTGGACTCCGCCAAGGTTGCCCTTTGTCACCGATTCTGTTCATAACTTTTATGGACAGAATTTCTAGGCGCAGCCAAAGTTCTGAGATAATCTGTTTTGGTGACCTTAGGATCGTGTCTCTGCTTTTTACAGATGAAGTGGTCCTATTGGCTTCATCAGGTCGGGATCTACAACTTTCACTGGAGAGGTTCACAGCTGAGTGTGACGCGGCTGGTATGAAGATCCATCCACGCATCCATCCATCCATCCATTATCTTTACCCGCTTATTCCATTTTGGGTCACGGGGTCACTGGTGCCCAGGTCCAGCAATCACTGTGCGAGGGGCGGGGTACACCCTGGACAGGTCACAAGTCCATCACAGGGACACATAGAGACAAACGAGACAAACAACCATTCACTCTCTCACTCACACCTAGGGACAATTTTAGAGTTACCAATTAGCCTAACATGCATGTTTTTGGTCTGTGGGAGGAAACCGGAGTACCCGGAGAAAACCCACGCAAGCACAGAGAGAACATGCAAACTCCACCCAGAAGGCCCCTGGACCGGGGTTTGAACCAAGGACCTGCTCGCTGAGAGGCAGCAGCTCTACCAGTTGTGCCACCGTGCTGCCCGGTATGAGGATCAGTTCCTCTAAATCAAAGGCCATGGTCTTGAGCCAGAAAAGGGTAGAGTGCTGTCTCTGGGTCAGGGAGGAGGTCCTGCCCCAAGTGGAGGAGTTTATGTATCTTGGTGTCTTGTTCACAAACGAGGGAAAAATGGAGCGTGAGATCGATAGGCGGATAGATGCAGCATCTGCATTGAAGCGGGCGATGTAACAGTCTGTTATTGTGAAGAGAGAGGAGTCAAAAGGTGAAGCTCTCAATTTACCGGTTGATCTACGTCCCTACCCTCATCTATGGTCATGAGCCTTGGCTTGTGACCGAAAGAACAAGATCTTGAATAAAAACGACCAAAAAGAGTTTTCTCCACAGGGTGTCTGGGCACTCCCTTAGAGATAAGGTGAGACGCTCAGTCATCCGGGAGGGACTCATAGATCCGCTGATTCTCCACGTCGAGAGGAGCCAGTTGAGGCAGCTCGGGTATCTCGTTAGGATGCCTCCTGGACGCCTCCCTGGTGAGGTGTTCCAGACATGCCCAGTGGGAGGAGACCCAGAGGAAGACCCAGGACATGCTGGAGGGACTGTTTCTCAGCTGGTCTGGGAATGCCTTGAGATTCCCCCAGAGGAGCTGGCCCAAGTGGCTGGGGAGAGGGAAGTTTGGGCCTCCCTACTTAAGCTGCTACACCTGCGACCCAACACCAGATAAGCGGAAGAAAATGGTTGGATGACTGGGTGGATGGATTGTCCGAGCTGAGTATTTAGTTATCAAAATAAATGTTTATTTTGGAAATTAATGTTTAGTTGGAAAATAAATATTTAGTTCCGAGCTATGTTTACTTAGTTTACTAACAAAATATTTAACTTGTAAGTTAAATATTTTGTTTGTAAATTAAACATTTCGTTTGGACATAAACATTTAGTTTGTAAACTAAATATTTAGTGTGGAAGTAAATATTTAGCTTGCTAACTAAATATTTAACTTGCAAGTGGTGTATTTAGTTTGTAAACTAAATATTTAAAATATAAATGAAATACTTGGAACTATGACATTTATAAATGTATGAATAACATGGTGAAAATATGACTTTGAAAAATAAAAGTTTTTTTCCCCTATGAAATATTAAGTAAACCAAAATATTGCTGTTAAGTTTTTGACTGTGTAACTTTACAAACGGCACCCCATACACATGTCTGGAAACCCTCTACACCTATAATCAGAGGCCTTGCGATGAGGAGGAGCAGTGGTTTTACTCCAAGCTCTCTGATGGAACTCCTCTATCTCTAATGCTGATCCTGACCACCCAACAAAGGAAGCACATTTCACCTCCTTGTACCCAGAAACTTGTTCTTTCATTTGAGAAAGTTTGTTGAGGATGGTTGGAGTGTCACTGACTCTGTAAGAACAATGTTAGAGCTTTGTCTTACAGCTTAGCACCTTCATCACAACGTTCAACTAGAGCAGCACTATCATTACTGTCAGAGGCGCCTATCCATCAAACCAAACCCACTTAATCCTACTATGACTCATGAGCAACGCTTTAACTTTCTTGAACTTCTCTGCTCTAGTCAAAGACTCATCCCAAACTTGGAAGGAGCGTTCCACCTTTTTCCGCTCAAGAACTATGGCCTCAGCTGTGGTATAACTTTTATTGACAAACGTTTATCTGTACACGAATATCTCTTTTATCAGTGTGTTATATACCATCTCTGCAAGTAGAATCAGTACCTCACCTTTTGCTGGCAATATTGCATAGTATGGCCAGGGATATGAGCAGGTAAACCATTTGTTGTTAACTAGTAGTTATATTTGTCAGATGTAAAGTTTGAAGAGTTCAGTTGAAACGAAAACAAAATATCAGAACAGGATGCACAATCCAATAACCTGTAAAGATTTACAAGTTAATGTCATACTTCAAACAGCACTTGAAGGAAGAAATTGATAAATAAAAATCATAAAGATGCAGTCTACAGTCTGACCCATAACCCCATCTAAAGCCCCGATTGGAACTAAATCACTAGTTGACAAAACAGTGTCTAAATCACAACAGCACATTGAATTATTTCATTTATATACAGCTTTCTATGAAGTCCATGAACAAGTTAAATCAAACTTGAAGATATCCTGATGCATGCTCAATAATCCAGGTAGAAAAATCTAAAAAAGTTAAATCTGGTCCTCTGGACATTCAAAAAACAAAACAAAGCAAAACAAACAAAAAACAAAATGTAGAAACGTTTCCTCTTTCATCCGAAAGACTTCCTCAGTCTGAGGTGCTGTATTCAGCTCAGTCTCTTAAATAGCACCTTCTCAGAGTGGATCAACCAGTTTGCTGCTGACAACCAAAACCAGCTGATCACATGCTCAAGAAGGACCATCAGCCTAACAATGGATCATTAGCACCTGATGGCTGTTTACTGTTCACAGAGGGCTGAGTGATACTAGCAATCACAGCATTGTAAGAGGGGGACAGTTGAACCTGGAGGCCTCCACCCCTGTTTAATGATGGACGATTTCTTTTCACAAAGATGGCCTCCTTTACTCCTCTCTCAAACCATCGTTCCTCTCTGTCCAGGATGTGAACATCTTCATCCCTGAAAGAGTGACCTCTGTCCTGGAGATGAGTGTAGACCGCAGAGTCCTGGCCTGATGATGTTGATCTTCTGTGCTGGTCCATCCTTTTGGCCAGTGGCTGTTTAGTTTCCCCAATGTAAGACTGATCACCCTCCTGACACTGAACAACATACACAACATTACTCTGTTTGTGCCGGGGGACTGGATCTTTGGGATGAATCAGTCTTTAATGTATTTTGGGGTTTAAAAGCCACTGGGATGTTATGTTTAGAAAATAAACGTCTCAGTTTCTCTGATACTCCCTCAACATATGGAATGACCACTGGTCTGGGTCTGGGTTCCTCCTTTTCACCTGATGGCTGACTGGAGTCCTGTTTGGGTTTCTTCTCTGCTTTCAGGAAGGCCCAGTTAGGATATCCACATTGCTCTCGAGCCTGTTTTGTGTCTGTCTTCCCACACAAAACAGGCTCTAGAGCAATGTGGATATCCTAACTGGGCCTTCCTTTTTTGTTTGTTTTGCTTTGTTTTGTTTTTTGAATGTCTAGAGGACCAGATTTAACTTTCTTAGACAAACTTGAAGATATTTGTTATAATGTCGAGCTTTTGTTCAAGGCAAAACCTCAAGAAAATCACAAGCTCAGTTCGCTTAAGACTGACATAGGTCCACTGGGGTAAAAAATATACAATTTGATTTATCTTAGATTTCTCTAAGAGCATGCTATTCATTTTTCAGATTCTGACAATACACAATTAACTAAATAAAAAAGAGGGATTTCTTTTGTAAGGTGTTAAAGCTCGCTTTTATCTTTTTCTGTCACAAGTAACAGAAAATCTCCTCCTCTTGTCTGATTATTCTGTTTTATATTAATTTAATCAGTTCTTTTATTTTAATTTCTCACTTTTCACTATGCTTTGTTGCCTTTATCGTCATGAATTACTCCAAACATGGTGACTTCCTTTACGAGATCACTTCAGGTCGATTCCTTCAGACGAAACCTTCTTCTTGGCCTGACGGGAAGGAAAAAAAAAAGGTTAAACAATTATTCATTCAACCTTTATTTTTACAGGTTAGTCTATGTGTTGTCTATGTTGTCATTTCAAAGAAAGAACAACGCCAATAAAAGATTTTCACCACCTTGGACGTTTCACATTTTTTGCTATTATAAATCAGTCATTGTCATTTTAAATGGGCCTTTACATTACGTTACAGATTTATGATCAACTTACCCTAAGAGATGGTCGAGGAGGTCTGACTGGAGGTGCTGTCTCAGGTCGTGTGCTTTCCTGTCTTCTCTTCAGGGGCTCAAGGTCATCAGCAACATCAGGGCAGCCAATGTAACCTCCAGCACCAAAGACTGATCCCAGATCACCTTCTAAAAGACTCTGACTGTTTGGATTGTTGGACATACTCCAGCCCTGGTTAGCTGACATTTTGCCAAAGGTTTTAAGTGTGTCAGTGGTAACATTGTTTGTGGTGTTGGCAAAACATGTGTTCGTATTGCTGAGTTCCAATCCCACTAGATTTTCTGATCCCAAATCACTCTCGGAACTGTTGCTAGTAGAGCTTAAATTGGCTTCTGCTTCAACAATACATTGGTTGTTGTTACCTTCGGGGAGGTTTTCCTCATTGATCAAGTCTAGGGACTCCTGGTTGTCAGGCATGTCTACATCTAGCAGCTCCTGATTTTTATTGCTACTGAGGTCCTGAACATCCTCGTACTCTTGGTTTTCTGATTCAAACAGATCCAAATTTTCTTTGTTGCCAAAACTCAAAAGCTCTTGGTTTTCGTATGGATCTAAGCCGAGCACTTCTTGGTTTTCAGGATGGGAGACAGCCAACAATTCCTGATTAAGATGGTCACACGTTTCCAGGACTTCTTGGTTATCATAGCTACAAACTTCAAGTAATTTCTCTTGGTTCACATTGGAACAGGGCTCCACCACTTCTTGGTTTTCATGCCATCTAAAATTTGGGACTTTCTGGTTTTCATCAAAAGCCAGTTTCATGTTTTTGTGGTTAGATGGCTCCATGATATCTTGATTTCTATAATATGGCAGTTGTTGGAAATTTTGGTCACAAGGTTCAAACACTTCTTGGTTTTCACAAGTGTGAGGCTTTAATACTTCCTGCTTGGCAAAGTTAAAGTTATCTATTTGCTCATTATTTTCATAGGTGCAAAGTCCCATTTCTCCCAGGTTATCGTGACCACAAAGGTCCAGTACCTCCTGGTTCTCGTCCTCAGGACTAAGTTTAAAGCCATAAGGATCAGAGTGACGTACCATCTGAGAGGCAGTGATGTCAAACCCATAAGGATCAAAGTTCAGTTTATGTGATGGAGAAGATGAGGCTTCGGGATCAAAGCTCATAACATTTTCAATTGATTTTGGGCTAAATTCAACTTCATCAGGGTCTAGAAAGGAGAGGTGAGAATGCTCTGGACTGAGTTTGAACCCATAAGGGTCAAAGGAAGGCTGGCTGCTTGATTTATGGTCTAACTCATAGTTGTTTTTGTCCAAGTCAGGCTGAACAAGGTTCTGAGAATCGAGTGAGTTCTGAGGTGTCGTGGGGTTTTGAAGCTTCATTTTGATGTTATTCTTTGTTTTTGTTGTTTCACTGGAGCTTGAGTCACTGGGCAGAGTTTGATTTATGGCGTCTGTCCAATCGAATTCCAGCTGTAAATGTTCACTGGGCTGATGCAAAACTGGAGCAGGGCCAGAACTCAAACCTAGTGGAGAAAAAAAAAAATGTCTTAAAGCTACAACAAGAAGAAAGCAACACTTGCAAAAACTAGATGTAACAAGCAAATATTTTAGCTGTATAAAAAAAAGGGGTTTTACTAAAAAAATTTCACTAAGTATCCCCTATAATTTCTAAATTCCTGCGATTATTTTCAGACTTTAGAACAGGTTTTCATCTAAACATGACCTCCTACCTTCTCAGAAATGCTGTTCTAAATGAGAACATTTGAACTCAGAGGAGACACACTCATTTTTTATAAGGGGTCAAAATTAAAAATCTAATTATATATAGATAGATTGGGCAGCACGGTGGAGCAACTGGTAGAGCTGCTGCCTCTCAGTGAGCAGGTCCTTGGTTCAAACCCCGGTCCAGGGGCCTTTCTGGGTGGAGTTTGCATGTTCTCTCCGTGCATGCGTGGGTTTTCTCCAGGTACTCCAGTTTCCTCCCACAGACCAAAAACATGCATGTTAGGCTGATTGGTAACTCTGAATTGTCTCTAGGTGTGAGTGAGAGAGTGAATGGTTGTTTGTCTCGTTTGTCTCTATGTGTCCCTGTGATGGACTTGCGACCCGTCCAGGGTGTACCCCGCCCCTCGCACAGTGATTGCTGGACATGGGCTACGGCGACCCCCATGAACCAAAATGGAACAACCGGGTAAAGATAATGGATGGATGGATATATATATATATATATATATATATTTCAATCTATCCATTATCTTTTACCCGCTTTGTCCAGCAATCACTGTGCGAGGGGCGGGGTACACCCTGGACAGGTCGCAAGTCCATCACAGGGCCACACAGAGACAAATGAGACAAACGACCATTAACTCTCTCACTCACACCTAGGGACAATTTAGAGTTACCAATTAGCCTAACATGCATGTTTTTGGTCTGTGGGAGGAAACTGGAGTACCCGGAGAAAACCCACGCATGCACGGAGAGAACATGCAAACTCCACCCAGAAAGGCCCAGGGACCGGGATTTGAACTGGCGACCTGCTCGCTGAGAGGCAGCAGCTCTACCAGTTGCGCCACTGTGCTGCCCCTAGAACAATGGCAGTTATTTGAAATTAAAACAGATAAATATTGGCATTTTACCTCTTTGACAGATCTCTGGTAGCTTGTAAGGTGTTCTCTCAAAAAATTTAGAGATGGAAGAAGTTTGTCTTTCTTCCATTGACATTCTGCTTTCCTACATTTTTTTCTGAGAGTGCAAGAGGCATCATTTAACCACGGCTCAGCACTCAGTTTAGTGGAATTAAACCAAAGAGGAGTGATGGAGTCTAAAATTTCTGAGCAAGTGGTTTGGAAATAGAGAAGGAAGCCATCTGGACAAAGTTCATTGGAAACAGAAGTCTGAAAGTCCATAAAAGCAGCAGTAAACAGTCCAGCTGTCTCAGGAGTAAAAATACGATGCCAATGATACAAAGGCAGGCCTACTGACTGGTAGGGGGGCTGAGAACTCCAACATGATGGGGAAATGATCTGAGATGGCCATTTCAGATGTTTCACAGAGTGAGATGGACAGCCCATGAGATATAATAAGGTTCAAGGTATGTCCAAGAAGATGTGTAGGCCCATGTACAGACTGTTAAGTTAAAATAAGTTAAAAGATTGATAAAATCAGAGGCAAACTGATCAGACGGGCAGCAAACTTGAATATTAAAATCCCCACTAATCAACAGATTATCAAATCTGGGGATGGAGTCAGCTAAAAATTCAGAAAATTGTTGAATAAAATCCTTGTTATATTTACGTGGGCGATACACAATTCCAAATAATACAGGCTGTGTCAGCTCAGCCACAAACAGCTGTAACTCAAAAGAAGAATATGTTCTGGCAGGTAAAAGTCTGCACTTGAAATTGTTTCTAAAAATGCCCCGAGGTAAATAACATAAAATCTGCTGGCTTGTGACAGGAGACACATTTCTCCATTTACCTTCTGTTGCTACAGCCGTAGCACACACAGTTCTCTGGCATTTTTACAATTTTATATACATTTTAAAATTATATTATAATTATAGTACATATATATTGATATGATTTTTACTTTTTTTTTAATATAGTCAACCCCTATTTTGGGCTATTTAGCCAATACCAACCAAAACACCAAGTAAAGACCTTTAACCGTTTTAGTAATGGCCACCGTTGCTACAGTGAATCACAAGGTCATGTGACCAGAGCGCTCTCTAGTGGTTTTATCAAACTATGCCTGCTGTACACAAACAATTTAAAATGGAGAAATGTTCAGTTCTAATTTCACTAAAGGATCTCTTGATGCCAGCTCCTTGATGTTTCACTGGACAGGTTTCAACTTGACAAAGTAGATCTCATTAGATCATTAAACCTTACAATTAAAACTATGACATTTTAACAACTACAAATCTGCACACAAAATAAAAAATATTGCTGGTTTTAGAGAATTAAAAGCTTCTAACAAAAAAAAAGTTTCTTTAAACTGTTGAAGTGTCATTTTTTAATTACTCTGTTGGATCTAAGCTGTTGAAATTAATTATGAATTACTTGTACCTTGTTCCTTTCCTTCAGTAGTAGCTTCATCTGCCAGAGACCCAATGCTGTGTTCCTCTATGTCAGAAGGAGGGGACACAGGACACAGGTCAAGCTCATAACCATTCGGGTCTGACTCTACAGAATGCTGCCCCTGAGAACTCCATTGGTGATTCAGCTCAGGCATGAGCTCTTCTGATGAACTCTGTATGGGTTTAAATCCGCAGGACTCATGTCCATCATCAATGGTGTCCAAGTCTTCTCTACTATAACTGATCTCTATGTCACTGTCTTCATCTGGGAACTCTGTCTCAAAGCACTGAGTTCCTGTCGAAGCTTTGTTTTCAGCACAGGACAGACTGATGTCTTCATCCTCACCAACATGTCCAGCTGGCTCCATGTCTGCCTCTGGAAACAAAACATCTGCTGCAAAAGGGTTGCTGCCTCTGAAAGGGTCTGAAGCAAATCCATCTGAAAAAAAAAAAAGAAAAAAAGATGATTAAAAATGTTATACTTCAGATGGGATTTTTGAAATGGTGTTAATAATGAAAGTGTGTACCCAAGAAAACCAGATTCTGACTTTTGGTGAACTTTGAGGACACATACACATGGAAAATATCAAATCTAATCATATATATAGAAATGCACAAAGATTATTACCCACCAGATGAGTCTGTTTTAGTGAACAGATCTTCATTGAAGGGATCATCTACAAATAAAGCACAACACAATGTGTGTGCATTACATCTGAGTACATATCAGACATTCAGATTCATTCAGTTAAACGCAATAATTGTGTATTTAATTCCAGCTAATGCTTACCAGAAATATCCCATATATCTGAACTTGTAATGGCAGAATATATACTGAAGCTTTTTTTTTTATTTAAAGGCCTAACATTTCTTGAAGGAATGCATATGACCAGCTGCCTTTTATGCCAGAGTTAAACTATATCATCTTATATAAGAAGGCATGGTGGAACAGTGGTTAAAACTTTTTCATCATCATCACTTTTATTGTCCCCTTAGGGAAATTTTCCTTGCAGCAAGGTGGCCAGAAAATTAAAACACAACACATGAACAATCACACCATGAAATTGGCAAACAGTAAAAACTCCATGTACAAATATCAATAAAGCAGGCTGAAAGACAAAATCAAGATATGTATTCGCTCGGGGTGGCTGCATGTTGGGGTAGCTCAGTCACATTTAGTCCGAGTTATTGCTTTAAAAAAAACTTTATTTCCTCTTTTTTCTGGATGTAAATCACTTTATTCAGATTATTATTTACTCTGGTATTGGATGCTGTGCAGCTGGAACGATTTTTACTGAAACCTTTTTACTTTGGGGCATTTGTATGATGCATATCCATGGCAATAAGTTTTTTTTTAACAACCAGGAGCAGCTGATTAACATCTCAAAAGCTCAACTATCTTAACTACAACCCCAAATCCCAAATGAGCTGAAAAGGAGAAATTCCCGTCACCCTGGCGGTGGTGCTCGAGTACCTGACCGCCGAAATCCCTGGAGCTGGTGGGAAACTCAGCTCATGACAACGGGAGGACCAGGATCATCCCCCAGCACCTTTAGCTATCTGTCTGTGGTGTCGAGGAGCTCGAAAGACTGATGGGAGGAGTGACCATCGCTCAGGGAAGAATTATGTTTGGCATTTGGGCAGTTCTGCTGCCTAGGAGGACCAAGAGGCCCGCTGAATCTGACAGCAAGCTGGATCCGGGTGGACGGATCGGTATCTGTGGCCAGATTCTTCTGATGCGCTGCAGGAGATCCTTCATGCCCACAGTTATCAGCATCTATAATAACTCTGGAATGAAACCAGGATGATGAGGTACGACAACACTTAATTTCCCTTTGGGATTAATAAAGTATTTTTGAATTGAATTGAAGCCCAATTACATTTAAAATTTATCTGAATAATGGCCTGGCTGATAAATAAAAAAAAGAGTTTCTCCAACTATTTGTTCTTGATTTGGGCTGCCTGAATCTCTTCCCAGATGGAAGGAGCTCAATCTCGCAATGGAGAAGATGATTTTGGAGAGTGGACACTGTAATTGCTGTTGTACAAGCTGTTACTTTTGTCACACACTTTGTACTTGTTTGTACTTTGTTGGTCTGCACCATGCCAAAGGAGACGTCCTGAAAAATTATCCAGACCAGGACTTTTGGTGATTTTAGTTCTGTTAAGCACACCCTTAACATCCTGAACATTAAACATAAAATTCAAAAATGGGGAAGAAGAAATCTCTTGTTTAATTTAGTTAATTTGATCTCTAAAATCCTTACTATCAAACAGTGGTGACTGGCCAATAGAGGGCGCTAGGGCGCCACCCCACCACTCACCACATTCATTCAATTCAATTCAGTTTATTTCTATAGCACCAAATCACAACAAAGTTGTCTCAGGGCACTTTACAGGAACATTCACATAAAAGCTAATTAGTAAAGTTCTCTATCTAAGGAATCCAGCAGACAAGATGAATCTTGGCTTCGTTGCAGTCTCCCATCCTGAGCAAGCACAGTGGCAACAGTGGAAAGGAAAACTCCCTTTTAACAGGAAGAAACCTCAAGCAGAACCAGGCTCAGGACAAGCGGCCATTTGCTTTGACCGGCTGGTTTGAGAGGACAGGAAGGAGAGACAGACGAACATAGAATGATAGGTCCAGGTATAGGTCCAGGTATACCTGAAAGACAAAAAAAAAAAAACCAACAACACATGTTAAGGATAGAAAAAAATAATTACAAATCCAAAACAACATTACCTTGAATAAGACATAAAAAATAATAAAAAATAAAATTATAAAAAAACCTTTTGAAATATATTTATATACGTTTTGTAAGATAAATATTTTATAGTTGATGAGTAAAGTTGTTTCGTTCAACGATGTCTGATTGGTGACGTATTTCCGCCCTGCGGCGCAAAAAACACTTTGCCCATAGACTCTTGTTAAAAGTTGTACTTGCACAGTAACTCCTCTTCAATACAAGAGAATAGGACATTCTGGGCGCTCCTCTCCTGCACCCAGAACTGAATGAATGGTACGGATCGTGCGTCCAGAACAGACTGTGCAGTGACACTCACAACCAGGTTATGTGTAATGGGCTAGCTGCTGAAGGTAGGCTTTAAGCCATTGAAAGCCCCTTATCTAATGCCTATGTTGCCATTTCTGACTGATATGCCTTTCAACTTTTAAATGTCTGTTTGTGAAAAAACCTTCAGTTGACTGTGTATTCTAAAAGTGGGAAGTGGTAAGTTTGTTTGCTTGTTTCTGATGCTAGCATGCTAGCGCTAGCCTCCAGGTTGTTGTATTGGGCTCTGTGATAAATCAGTGATATTGCTACAACATTCATTTGTGTGTGCTTATAGAAAAAAACATTATCAAACATTAATACTTTTCTATACTAAATGTCACTGATGGTATTATACTAGGGCAGCACGGTGGCACAACTGGTAGAGCTGCTGCCTCTCAGCGAACAGGTCCCTGGTTCAAACCCCGGTCCAGGGGCCTTCTGGGTGGAGTTTGCATGTTCTCCCCGTGCATGCGTGGGTTTTCTCCGGGTGCTCTGGTTTCCTCCCACAGACCAAAAACATGCATGTTAGGCTGATACGATATGCACATCTTCATCCCTGAAAGAGTGACCGCTGGCCTGGAGATGAGAGATGCCAGCGGTCACTCTTTCAGGGACGAAGATGTGCACATCCTGGACAGAGAGGAACGATGGTTTGAGAGAGGAGTAAAGGAGGCCATTTTTGTGAAAAGAAACCGTCCATCGTTAAACAGGGGTGGAGGCCTACGTGTTCAATTGTCCCCCTCTTACAATGCTGTGATTGCTAGTATCACTCAGCCCTCTGTGAGTAGTAAACAGCCATCAGTGTGCTAATGATCCATTGTTAGGCTGATGGTCCTTCTTGACCATGTGATCAGCTGGTTTTGGTTGTCAGCAGCAAAACTGGTTGATCCACTCTGAGAAGGTGCTATTTAAGAGACTAAGCTGAAAACAGCACCTCAGACTGAAGAAGTCTCTCGGACGAGAGACGAAACGTTTCTACATTTTTTGTTGTTTTGCTTTGTTTTGGGTTTTTTTGAATGTCCAGAGGACCAGATTTAACTTTTTTAGATTGGTCTATGTGTTTGGGTTTGTGGTACACCTCAGTTTGAAAATGTCCTCTATCAGAGACTGAGACCTCACAGTCCAAGAAAGCCAACCTGCCATTTTTTACATTTTCTCATGTGAACTTGACGTATTTATCCACAGAGTTGATGTGGTCAGTAAAAACTAACAACGTGTCTAGATCACACCACACTTCAGCAAGTGATAGACTGTAGAGATCAGGCACGCTTAGCACAGCATGCCAAGTCCAAGACTCGACAGCAAAACAAGTTTAACTTACTAATAACTCATCAACACCATCATAATTCCAATAACAAGACATTCAGTGTAGGATAACACTCCAGTAGTCAATTACATGCCAGGGAGACAGAAAAGTGGGTGAAGAATTTATCTGACAGACAGCTCACCCAGCCAGAGACATAGATTATTTCCAGGGGACTGAACTTTATGGTTGCACCAACATGACTTCCTCTGTTGGAGATCATCACAGCCACAGAATCAGCCATCCGCAACAACAAAATTAAAGAGGGTGAAGCAGAACAGCTCAGAATCAAAGTTTCAGCCTGCCTCAGCAATGCCAAACCACCACCTTCCAACATCAGTAGAGAGGAGAGGGATGCACTCACCACTCTTAGCAAGGACAAAAACATCATCATTCTCCCAGTAGACAAAGGAAGGTGTACAGTGATTTTGAACCAGAAAGACTATCGTGAGAAAGTTATGACACTCCTTAGTGACTTAAACACTTATGAACCTCTGAAAAGAGATCCAGGAAGTGGTTACAAGAAGAAGTTATAGATTGCCTGAAAAATTTGGAGCAGGACAAGGCTATTGACCGTTTTCTGTACCACAGACTGTACCCAGGAGAGGCCACACCTAGTCTGTATGGGTTACCTAAAGTCCATAAACAAGGTGCACCTTTAAGACCAATTGTTAGCATGATTAACTCTGTCACTTACAATGTTTCCAAATATCTGGTGTCTGTACTCATCCCTTTAGTTGGCAGCTCAGAACACCACATACAGAACACCATGGACTTTGTGGACAAGGTGAGGGATGTCATCATGGAGACTGATGAAACAATGGTCTCTTTTGATGTCACACCACTCTTTACTTCCTGTTGATGATGCAGTAGAGGTCGTCAGTTTAAGATTAAAATCAGACACCACTCTGAGCAGCAGGACCACACTTTCCACAGAACAACTGTGTCAACTCTTGAAACTGTGCCTGCAGTCAACCTACTTCACATATGGGGAGCAATATTATAGGCAGAAACATGGGTGTGCTATGGGGTCTCCAGTTTCTCCTATTGTTGCCAACCTGTACATGGAGGAGGTAGAAAAGAGAGCCTTGATGTCCTTTTCAAAGAAACAACCAAGTAATTGGTTCAGCTATGTTGACGACACCTGGGTTAAAATTAAATCTCAGGAAGTCCAACATTTTACTGACCACATCATCTCTGTGGATAAATACTTCAAGTTCACATGAGAAGATGTAAAAAATGTCAGGTTGGCTTTCTTTGACTGTGAGGTCAGTCTCTGATAGAGGACATTTGCAAACTGAGGTGTACCACAAACC